TGGGGGTATGAAAACCCAGACCTGGAAGCTTGCTTATATAGGCCGCGGGGAACCCGGGGTCATCGTAACCGGTGGTCAGACACTTAGTGAGATGACTCAGTGGCGCTTGTGCATCTACTCACTATCCTTGCAACCCCTGGCATGTGAATTCGCTACCTTCCCTTTGGCTCGCAACATTGCAAATGGGCAGTCATGAGATAGCGACCAAAACGGACGTAAGAAATTGTATGGTGGTTGTAAAACCTTAAACTCATATTATACGGAAAGGGATTATATTAAGCACCTCGTACTTTCTGCCAAATACATTATTCTACTTACAGGAGCACAGTTCACCGAAACCAATCCCCACGGACTTAGTTTCCTGCACCAAAACCGTCTTAATCGTAGAGGAAGACCAGTGGTTGCCCAGGCCAAGTAATTTACCTTGAACATCAGTTGTTCGCCTTGCGGTTTCTCATCTGTCTATAGATCAACTAAGATCTTTGTTTGGTTACAGTAATCAAGCTCATGACCGTGATAGACCTGACGTTTTATTATTTTAGAAACCTTCAACTTCCAGTGCTAAATCGCTAATTGTCATCCGTCCAATATCAGATGGTAGTCGATGTTAGTCCTAATTAACTTTCTACCACTTCATATTATGCACCGAGGGTCGATTAGTGGGCAGAATGTGCTGAGCAGTCCTGATTCAGTGTTAACTAGAACTAAGTCTCATTCGCCCCGCCTCCGCCGTATCTCCAATTACACGTATCTGTCTGTAGATTTTCTGCAGAGGCTTTCGGTTGGCATAAGTATATCAACAATGTTTTTTAATAGCATAGTTTGCCCAGTCCACAAACGTGTTCCTATTCGGCTTACCTTTATAGTTTGAGAAATCCAAACTAGTCTCTTTCACGGCAAATTCCACATTGAATGGGGCAGTCTGTTCGCGTAGGATGAGCAAATGTTTGATGAGGAACAATTGGCCGTCCACTGTGGTTCGACGCGCACTGATGGCTGTGCTCGCGCTCACCAACGACTGGACACACATGGCCACACAGTCTTGAGCCAAGCCGCAAAATGAATCCGCCTAACAGAGAAGAGGGAAATGCACAGAGAGAGAGAGAGAGATATCGCCAGCCACAGAAATTTCGGCAGAGAGAGGTGACAGTCAGAAGAAAAACCGTTGCTGAACTCCAGCCACGGATAGTCGTTCTGGTGCGTAACCCCAGGGCTAATATAACTATTAAAAATAGTGGTGAGTGGATTCAGATGAACTCACACGGACACATCCTCTTTCCGTGTTTGGTCTGTTCTATTTGTGCACACTATACATTCTATGTTGTGCTATCCCGGGGAGAAAGCAATCGACGGGAACTAAGCAGAAAAATTTGTCAATCTTCAAGTCGTGTACAGGCACACATACACAAAGAGGGTGTACTATTGATGATACTACCTCTAACCCTAAACCGATGGGATATTCGTCTGAGAGCCGAATTTTGGCACATCTGTGAGATTTTTTCGTCAGATAGCAGATGAATCAGGACTGTTTGAGAGAAGGAGACCGGGGTGCGCACTCCCTCACGCTGAGAGATTTAAAACCTTGTTGAAGTTAAAGGAAACAGATTAGAAGTTGCTTATGTATTGGCAAAGTGATGTACATGAAGGGGGTTGCGCTGGAGAAGGAGGAGGAGATTCACACGTCAACTGTCGGAATGAGAAACAATGCTAACGGAGAAAACGAGATTAGTATTGGAAAGTGGACACATAATCGTGAACTCGCCAGCCTGGTTTCGCAGCTTATAGACTATGTCTAAACAGCACACACACACACTGCACCAGTTGAGGATAACCAGGAGGTTATCGATGCCCCAATGTGATCCGATTTCTTTCTGCATATTCAATTTGAATCCCGAAATAGCCGGTATGGACACATTATGGGGATCGCACTGTTTAGGACCACTGGTAGACCATTCGATAGTTTTCAAAGATAAGCCGAATTTTACGGCCTTTGCTTTATCCTTTTATTGTTGTTCTTTTACTCTCGACATAACTGTGCAAACCCTATCCAGGAAGGAAAAAGTGACCGATCACAGAAATACCATGCGGCACCAAGAAAACGCGTAGTTGGGCGGAGGTGATCGGATCTGAATGCATGATCTTCGGTGTGATGAGATGGTGTGCACCATAATGTGAACGGTTGCAATTTTACACACACACACACACAAACACACACACACGTGATGAACAAAGGGAATAGACTTAATAAAGACGAGGACCTACTGTACAAACAGATCCTGAAAAACTATTCGGATCACCCTTATGTTTCGGATTACTACTAACCACCGAACGAACTTGCTTCAAAGCCAGGAGATGTTTCGAATCATCATCATTATCATTGTATAGCGAGATACAGTGAAGCGAACTTCACTGACCGCTACCAAGTTCACAATGTACATAAGTCAAGTGATAAAGCACAAAATGGAGAGGGATTGGGCCTAATTGGAAGTAGGCAAGGAAAGTGAATCTCTATGGTCAACACACACAGTAAACAATCCACGTGTGTATATATTCCGTTTCAAGCATTTACTGCTGTCGGTTCGCTGTCATATCCTTCAGTATCTCCAACCAACTGAGTCTTTCGGACCTCAACCTGGAAGACGCGAGACACTTATTCTACCCAATCGATCTGTGCATTTCTCCATGCCTCGTTTCCATCTCATCTGTTGACCCCCCACGTGGTTTCTTCGAACCTGAAGCCGCAACAGCGAATAAGGCGCGGTGCGGTAGACGATAGCTGGGTATGTGCAATAAGTGTCCTAACCAGCGAAGTCGACTAATCTGAATTCAATGGGACAACGAATTCTCCAGCAACCATAGAGCAGAAATGACCACACACTGACACAGTATACACTTTCTAGTTTCAACGAAACAGCATGTCTGCACCAAATATGTTTCAATCCTGCGTAAGCTTCTCGAGCCTTGAAAATTCGGGCGGACACTTCATTGACTGCGCTTCTGTCATTCGTCACGCAGCTAACTAAGTAGGTAAAACATTCCATTATAATTAACTGTTGACCAACAAGCGTCAGCGCCGGAGTAGACGACGTTCAGTCTTGTAGCATCACTTTACACTTGTAAGGTGCAAAAGGAATAACGAATGAAGTCACAGAGCTTGAGAGCGAGTTACCAGAGGGAATGAGAACATTTAGGGATTGCGAAACCAGTTTTGAGGATAACCCCGTCGGACCCGTTGGATATGAAAAACCAGAATCTATAGTTTAATGTTTAAAGTATCTGGAAACAGAACTGGGAGGATTTCTTTGTCCCTACAGACATGTGCAATTCCTTTTACGCCAGTTCGCCAATAATCTGAAGAATGATCACGAGAATTGGCGGGTAGAAACGTAAAATGAAAGGCGATGGAGATTGCCGTGAAAAATGGTGACAGTCGCAATCGCGTTCGTCCGAAATAGGAATATACGGGTTCGTGAGAATGAGGAGTGTAGGCGAGGTAATTTCAGAAGTCTGATGGCACACTGATTCACATTCAGGCACAGCTCAACTGGGCGCCACCACGGAAGCGGGGACAGAGTTAGCTTCGAAAGTACAAAGCTTCCGGCTCAGACAGTTTATAATTATCGGCATTCGATGACGGAGGTTCCGTTTCCTTCTTGTGGTTGACGAAAATCATGGTT